CTCTCTCTCTTTTCGTGGTTTATTCTCCCGTAGGCGACAGCGGCAGCGGCGGCGACGGAAGGAAAGATAATCGCAACGCTTAAACGAAGCGCGAGATTTAATAGAGCCTCAAAGTAGTGACGGTGCCTTTTTATCTTCTTCGCAAAAAACCTACGACCTTGGAGTGATAAAGTATACATGCGCAATAAAAAGAAACTTGGGAGATCACGTATACATATAATTATACCTTTATACTACGCGTAAAATTCCGCCCATGCTATTTTATTCTTGTAACGTAATTTTATTATTTCGAGGTCGCAATTATGATGTAATTTTCATTTACCTACTCGAAAGTTACTTCTATTGATTGAAAATAACCGGCGTTATTGGATAAATTTATTGTATGCTGGAACCGCCTCGATTCCATTATGTAAAGTCGGCCGACATGACGTGAGCTGGTTATATAACATATAATAAGCAACGTTGACTCCTAAAGAGGAATATACGCAAGGATGATTTATTTTATTTTACTTTTTCGAAACAAAGCTGTTCTTTTCTAATTAATATGTTGATTAATTAATACATATGCGCATAAAATAAACGGTATTATATTATTTTATTGTCTGCATAAAAATTATTATAATATCTGATTATAAATCACATCAGCTTTTTTATCTGTTTCGATAGTAAGTATTATTACTTCAAACTTTTTAAAAAGTATACGTGTACAAATGAGCTACCTTTTAGATAACTATCTCGAAATTCTCGTTTCGTTACTGTTATAGCCTTTATCAGTACAAAGAGCACTGCACATTGGAATACTTTAGAAAGCGCAGAAGGTGAAACGTGAAAATGTAGAAATCTTGCAGAACTAGAAGAATGCTTCTGGAATGTCTGTTCTGTTTTATGAGAAATAAACCTTTGTAAATGTAAAACAATAATCTCTTTTGATTGATATTAAACGAGAGGGAATGCGAATTGTCGAGAAAATTTAGATCTTAAGGAATGGTAGTCGAAGCTGAAGATTGCTACATTAAAAGCTTCTTGCGATTTCTGGTCCATAAGGTCTGTCATAAAAGACCGGAAACATTTTATGGGGCTTGTCCTTTACGTCCATTTGTGTTATCTTTCAGAAATAGAAATCGCCACGCGCACAATAGTTCCATACAAATATAGCGACAGTAGTTATATATATAATATAAATAGATATTTTAACGTATTAAAGTATAAATAAAAATGTATATCAAAATATAAAATATATCAATATAATAATTTAATGTATTAATACAGTAATATATTAAAATGTATACAGTAATATGATAACATATTAGTTAATGAATATTGTCTATGGAACTGTTATCGTATATTTTAATATGATGATTAAAAAATGGTTGACCCACATATACACTGAAGTTTTCTCCTTTCCTAGATGAGCATCGCTTTTCCACATTTATAACAATTTTTCAAACACTTCGTCAGGACAATCTTGAGAAATTGCAACTTTTATCTCTCAGACGTTTTCTTGCGCATCATGAAAAAAGCATAATGCAACAACAATCACTAGAGCTGAAGAGATTCTACACATTGCGAGCCTCAGCTACTGCAATGGAACGTGTGCAATAAAGCATTACACGTAATAAAGTACCGCATAAAACCAGGCATTAAGGTCCACTCCTTTAATTGGCAGGAGCGTTCTTTTCATAAAAACGGCTTTTCAAGGAAAGGACGTATAGCCTCGTTAAATAATGAAAAGAACTACGACGTTTTGTTGTTATTATAACGTTATTGTTAATTTCCTTCTATTCGAAAATCCGCCATAGTTGACCCCGTTAAAGAAAAAATAATAAGGGTTATCGCTTTTCGGAGTGAAAAGCTTAAATAACTCTCAAATTATATTTTTCAGACTTTAAAAAATACATTTCTATTTTCTTATTATAAGTGAAATTAAATTAAAAATAATATTTGACACTCTTCCACATATATATTTATTCACTTCGCAATTTCATAATCTCAACCGTCGCACACCACTCAGATTAATTTTAAATTGTATTCTGTTATTCAGTTATATAGCTTCATTCAGGTTTAGCAATGGATAATATAACAATCTTCGAAATGTTTTAATGTAGGAATTTGTGAGAATAAATTGAGCGAAAGTTCTCAGCGAAGCCTGTGCGATAAGCGGGCAAGGAAGTAGGGACAAATATCGGTCTAATAGGGTGCGGTACACATTCCAGAGTTTAGCACAAAGTTTGCCAGCACACAGCATGCTTCAGTCACAGGCACAATGAATGCCTCTTGCGGTAAAGTACGAACACTGTTCCGACCCATGGGAAACATACAGCCATCTAGGAACTCTTACAACTTTGCAGTGTACGGAAATAATAATGTAATTTTCAAGCAAATCGATTCACCGTAAATCAATCAAAATCAGGAAAAGAAATTGATTATTCTGAAATTTCAAAAAATGTAAAAATATAGAATTTAATTTTTTTTTCTTTTTAAGATAAAATAGAGCTTAATTTTATTCAAAATAATTTTTTTCTGATCTCAGCGTTTTGTATCTCTAATAATTTCTGTTTTGGTTTTGCTTATTGCAAATGTAAGATGAATACGAGATGATTGACGTCAAAAGAGCGTTTCCTCGCATTCATGTTGTAATTAAACACACAACACAGCTATTCCAGTTAAATAACATTGAAAGAGATTTGTATAGTTACATATACAAAACTATAAAGCTGCAGTTTCACGAATGTCGGGCAAAACGGAATTACTCCGAGTTTTCCAACAGTGATGTAACATGATACTAAAGTTGTTATTTCAAGCACAACGAAGCGCAGTGCATAACGTGTTTTATACGATCATCTGTTTTTGTGGTAATAATTTAGTGAATAGCATTCATGTATCAGTTTAGTTTTTTTGTAAACTTTGCCCCTTCGCAATAGAAATATGTATAAAATGAAAGACTACGTAGTAAACATAAATAGAATATAAAGGATATATCGAAGATATGTAATTTTTAAGAGCACATATATTGTTTGTGAAGAAAATGCTGTTCAGCAGGAAGGGAAGCTTCAAAAGCGATACACGATTGCACTTTCTCAAATATCTATATGTAAGCATGTGCTATTTCAACGGTACTTATTTATCGCGTTGTTCACAAAAGATTTCCTTCCGAGACTCTGCAAATCCATCTATAATTATAAATCTAACACAT